CTCATATCCTTAAAAATCTCAAAGGTACCTGGCTGTCTAACCCTATAGGTATTACCAATTTGCCAGAGGGTTTTCTGTTTTTAAAATAAATTGAGCAATGAAGCGAAGAATGTACTAGAAACCCCCCCGTTCTAATGACGAGATTAAGCACATTGTTTTTAGCATGNTAGACCTCATATCCTTAAAAATCTCAAAGGTACCTGGCTGTCTAACCCTATAGGTATTACCAATTTGCCAGAGGGTTTTCTGTTTTTAAAATAAATTGAGCAATGAAGCGAAGAATGTACTAGAAACCCCCCCGTTCTAATGACGAGATTAAGCACGTTGTTTTTAGCATGAAACCTATGAAAGCCCTAGGTCCAAATGGACTTCCGGCTTTATTTTTCCAGAAATACTAGGATGTTGTGGGGGTTTTAGTCTACAATCTCGTTAAAGAGATGATAGGTAATAGGAAATGTCCTAGCAATTTGAATAAGACATGGGTAACTCTTATGCCTAAGGTGGAAAAACCCACATTGATCACTCAATTTAGACCAATTAGTCTATGCAATATTTCTTATAAAATTTTGACTAAGCTCTGGTTTTGAGACTTAGACCATTCCTTGATAAGCTTATCAGTCCTAATTAGTGTAGTTTTATCCCAGGCAGACAAACAATTGATAATGTTATAATAATGCAGGAGATTATCCACTCTCTAAAGAGGAAAAAAGGTAAAACTGGAGGAATGGTTATTAAAATTGACCTTAAAAAAGCCTATGATAGAATTAATTGCAATTTTCTTTATAAGACATTGATTGATTTTAACTTCCCACAGTCTTGGGTTGATATCATCATAAGTTATGTTAATGAGTCAACCTTTTCCATTCTTTGGAATGGCTCCCCCTTGGGGCCTATCAATTCTAGGAGAGGTTTGTGCCAAGGAGATCCCCTATCCCCTTATCTTTTTGTTTTGTGTATGGAACAACTAGGACAAGTAATCTCTAAAAAAGTCCAAGGAGGGAAATGGAGAGGTTTAAAAGCTTCTAGAAAAGGTCCACTTATTACTTACTACTTTTTGCTAATGATATTATTTTGTTTTCTAGAGCTACTGAAAGAGATTGTCTTATGATCAAAGATGTGCTTGAAAACTTCTATTCAATGTCTGGGTAGAAAATCAGCTTGAATAAGTCTAAGATTTTCTTCTCTCCCAACATAAGTAAAAGCCATGCACTGATTCTTAGTAATAAATGTGGTGTCGCCCTCACAGAAGATCTTGGAAAATACCTAGGTATTCCAATTTTACATAATAGATCTTCCAATGATTACTTTAAATTCATTATTGACAAGATCCAGAATAGATTTAGTGGGTGGAAAGCCAATACACTCTCCTTGGCAGGTAGAACAAATCTTGTTAAAGCCGTTACTTCAACTATCTCTAAACATATAATGCATACCAATTGGCTCCCTCAAGCAACTTGTGACCAGATTGATAGATTCAATGGATATTTTCTGTGGGGAGATACACCAGGGAAGAAAAAGACTCACCTAGTAAATTGGAATAGGGTGTGCACTCCAATGAAGGAAGGGGGTTGGGTTTAAGAAAAAGTAGGGACNTATGGGGAGATACACCAGGGAAGAAAAGACTCACCTAGTAAATTGGAATAGGGTGTGCACTCCAATGAAGGAAGGGGGTTGGGTTTAAGAAAAAGTAGGGACAATAATTTGGCCCTGCTCTCTAAACTAGGCTGGAAAGTGAANTGTGGGGAGATACACTAGGGAAGAAAAAGACTCACCTAGTAAATTGGAATAGGGTGTGCACTCCAATGAAGGAAGGGGGGTTGGGTTTAAGAAAAAGTAGGGACAATAATTTGGCCCTACTCTCTAAACTAGGCTGGAAAGTGAAGAATAAAGATAAAGCCCTCTAGGCTGAAGTGATTAGTAATAAATATGTTGACCAGGATCATAGTAATTGGAAGATCAAACCTACTAGTTCACCAACTTGGAGAGCAATATGATAGACTAAAAACTTAGTGGACTTGGGTGCAAAATGGTTGATTGGGGATGGTATCATATTAACTTTTGGACGGATTGATGGTGGGGAAAGGGACCACTANAGAGACTAAAGACTTAGTGGACTTGGGTGCAAAATGGTTGATTGGGGATGGTATCATATTAACTTTTGGACGGATTGGTGGTGGGGAAAGGGACCACTAGTGCAACAAGTTACTCATGCAGCTCATTTGAATCTNATAGACTAAAAACTTAGTGGACTTGGGTGCAAAATGGTTGATTGGGGATGGTATCATATTAACTTTTGGACGGATTGATGGTGGGGAAAGGGACCACTAGTGCAACAAGTTACTCATGCAGCTCATTTGAATCTCAACAAAAATGTGGCAGACTTCATTGATGATAGAGGTAACTGGAATCTCCAAGAGGCAGGTATTCTTTTTCCTCACTCNCTCAACAAAAATGTGGCAGACTTCATTGATGATAGAGGTAACTGGAATCTCCAAGAGGCAGGTATTCTTTTTCCTCACTCTACTTTGCATGATATTTTACACACTCCTTGCCCTTTATCTGTTGATTTTCAGGATACCATTTGTTGGGGGCTTTACTATAATGGGAAGTTCTCAACAAAGGCAGCATTTGAACTACTCACTAGATCTAATCCACGTAACTTCCCTTCTCTTGACTTGAATTGAATTTGGAAAATGAATCTTCCTCAGAAATTGAAATAGTTCTTGTGGCTTGTTCAATCATGATAGAATCCACCCAAATAATCTTAGAGCGTCAAGGAATATGGTAACCGAGGCTACTTGCTCTAGATGTAAAAACTCTAACGAAACCTCATTGTATGCTATTTTTTCCTGTCCTAAAGCTCAAAGAGTTTGTAATTTATTCAAGTTGTCACAAGGGGAGGATACTGCCCAGCTGCAAAGGTTACAGGAGTGGATCCAGTTGAATTTTAAAATCAGAAAGATCTCAAATTGGAAAGGAATTAATTGGCCTGTTATGTGTGTTTGTATTGCATGGTGTGTATGGAAAGATAGGAATAGGGAAAGCATTTCAAATATTGTTATCCCCCCAAAAATTGTTGCTAAGGAAACGAGACTACTGGCTCATGATACTGTTAAAGTTTTTCATAATGTTCATATTGTCTCTAACAATGCCTCTTCNTTGTTGCTAAGGAAACGAGACTACTGGCTCATGATACTGTTAAAGTTTTTCATAATGTTCATATTGTCTCTAACAATGCCTCTTCCAGACTTATTGCTTGGTCCTTTCCCAATATAGGTTGGAATAAATTGAACACAGACGAATGCTCCAAAGGCAACCCAGGACCTGCCGGAATGGGAGGAATTATTAGAAATGATCAAGGNAGGAAACGAGACTACTGGCTCATGATACTGTTAAAGTTTTTCATAATGTTCATATTGTCTCTAACAATGCCTCTTCTAGACTTATTGTTTGGTCCTTTCCCAATATAGGTTGGAATAAATTGAACACAGACGAATGCTCCAAAGGCAACCCAGGACCTGCAGGAATGGGACGAATTATTAGAAATGATCAAGAAAAATGGATTGCTGGCTTCTATAGGAGGATTGAGGACACTACCAGCTTACAAGCAGAGCTAAGGGCTATCTCCAAGGGGCTGGAGCTTGTTCAAAGGAGGAAAATCACACAGACTGTAGTGAAAACCGATTCACTTGAAGTAGCCAAATTTTTGTCTATGGAACCGGAGGATACTCACCCGACCACAGGCATTATTTCATACTATAAAAGGCTTATGGAGCTGAACCACATCCCCATTATTCACACCCTCAAGGAAAGAGACCAATGTGCTAATTTTTTGGCGAACATGGGTATCCAACAGCTAGACCCTTTTGTTGAGCTTGGTGATCCTCCTCCACAGTTAACGAAGAATGTGTTAACTGACCTAACTGGTGTATAACTTTTTATAAAAACTATATTTAGTTTTTCTTTGTTTTAATTTTCCNCCTCAAGGAAAGAGACCAATGTGCTAATTTTTTGGCGAACATGGGTATCCAACAGCTGGACCCTTTTGTCGAGCTTGGTGATCCTCCTCCACAGTTAACGAAGAATGTGTTAACTGACCTAACTGGTGTATAACCTTTTATAAAAACTATATTTAGTTTTTCTTTGTTTTAATTTTTTGATTTACCCAAAAAAAAATGGAAAAGAACAAATATGGAAAACTAATGAATGATATAAACCGTATTTGAAAAACAAATTCAAATCTACTCATACAGAAATCAAATTGAGTAACCAAAGACAAGCAAGCGAGAAGCGTATTTTCTTGAAGACCAAAGATCTCCTTAACAGTTGGACTTTGGGGCCATGTTACAGACGGTTTAGATCATTTCAAACTGTAAACCGTCCCGCAGAGAAACTATTCTCTCGGGGGAAGACGACAAGAAAACTCGATAGTGCAATCGCCACGTGTTGAAAGAACTAGAGAGAGAAGAGCACACAGAGAGTCAGAGCATAGACCCACACCCACTCACCAACAAATAGAAACGAAGCAGAACCGTAAACCCGATGGATATAACCTACTATCCATATATGTATACCCCTGACCCCACACCCATATTCAATTCACTGACCAAACCCCAGTTGAGTATATATATGGCCTTTCTCTCTCTTCGCCACTGCCATCTCTTTCTTTCTCTCCTCAACCTTCTCTCTCTCTCCACAATAGCAATTATCTCATCTGTGAATCTCTCTCTTTTTCTCTTTCTGGGTGTGAAACAACGAAGAAGACGTCGGGAGATGACGAAAGACAAGTGGATTACGGCGGCGTTCATGGATGACATGGTGGTGGTAGAACTCCTGCTTCGGCTCAAACACTCTTCATCGGACTCGTCAAATTCGAAGAGTCAGTCGCCGGTGATTATGCCTNACATGGTGGTGGTAGAACTCCTGCTTCGGCTCAAACACTCTTCATCGGACTCGTCAAACTCGAAGAGTCAGACGCCGGTGATTATGCCGNGGATGACATGGTGGTGGTAGAACTCCTGCTTCGGCTCAAACACTCTTCATCGGACTCGTCAAATTCGAAGAGTCAGTCGCCGGTGATTATGCCTCCGCTCGGGTGGGGCCATCGTCAGCAGCGGTCGAAGCTGGTCACGACGAGGAAGGAGTCGACGAGGTGTAGCCCTACGACGCCGCTATCATGGAGTGGTGGAGCAGGTGGCTCCGCTTCTCCTAGCGATGGCTATGATGAATCAAACTGGCCCTCCGATCTATCCTCCGGTGCCAGATCCAAGGTTTGTCTCGGCTTCTCTCTCTCCTTCTTCATCTCCGGTGGTAGTGTCAGATTTCTGACCACCTGACTCTCACCTCACTCTCTTGGGTTGTCTGAGACATCCCCACGGACCAGTTTAATTACGTCCGAGGACTTCTGTCTCGGTTCTTTGCTGATTGGCGTGGACACTGTTTCCGTTTTCACTGTGAAAATTGGTGTCGTGTCGATAGTTCACCGGAGTTTGCTTTTCCGGTCACCTGACCTCCAGAGTGTCAATCAGTCTTTTTATAGGCTATATAGATAGACCTCATGAACAGCTTTAATAAGTTTTGTCCATCGTCGAATCATGTCCCGTTTTCATCTTAATTTCTCCGTTATAGTGTTCCCGTTTCTGAGGATAGCGTCGGCTTTCCGGTCATCGGATCTCTACGGAGACATTTTGTTCTCTCTCATGACCGGAATTCCCTGGCTTTCCGATCTCTTTCAGTATGGGTGTTCATTGGACTTTGAAAATGCCAAAATTCTGCATATATGGCGATTTTGACCTCTTAATTGATCTAATTTACTTCTAGTGTGCCATCTGAAGCGGTCCCACCGTTATCTGTTCCATTTGAGTCCCCATGGTCGATGTGACTGGGGGCATTCCGGTCAATTTGTATTAGAGTCATCGCTCCGGTGGCGGTCATCGGATAGTTGATAATGTGTCAGTCTGTCTTTGTCTGAGATCATATTCAACTTGTTATGACGAAATTGACCTTTGGCTTTTACGAAGTCACGTGAGACCCAGCAGATAAAAAACGAAGAGATGTTCTCTCTCTCACACCTCACGTTTCTTCTTGCCTCTTTTCCGGTCACCTGTCTTTTGTTTATTTTTCTTTCTTTTTGGTTCAATCAGAAATGGTGTTCGATCTGATTTACGTTCATTTTTTTCTTAGCCCAACTAGTATATTCACGTCCCAATTAAGATATTCATAAAACAAAAAATCCTCGAGGCATGCTCCTACGACATGGTTTCGTATATAAAATATAGCTTTGTATATAAAGCAATCGTTTTGAACCTCTGCAAATAGCATGTTGTACAGCTGTGGTGGTTCCAGGAAACTTCCTAAGTCTAAGGTGTTCAGAAGCTCTTTCCTTGATTTGTATTTCTTTGGCCTTTGTGGGGGGTAGAATAGTCTTTTACGTGAGTCCAAAGTCTTGCCCATTCAGTAACCGACTAACCGGTGGTGTGGCTGGGTGGACCCTACAAGAGGAGGAAAGTGCTAAGGGGGGCCCCTTGTTTTTTCAGCTGGATGGTGGGTGCTTTTCTTTATGTTTTGTGACGGAGGAATCCCTTTGAAAACACGGGTGCACAGTTGCTAAGGGGCAGCCCCAAGAGGCTCCGTGCATGATTCTTCACTTGTCCCGGCTTCACAATTCAAAAACTTAACTTATCCTGTGGAAAATTTTCTCAAAATCTTATGAGTCCATATGGCACCCCTACAGCGCCACCTATTTGATGTGGGATTCGTAACATCCCGCTTGTGTCAACCTGTTGGCTGTTGTTCTGGACTAATGAAGTGGAGGGGGCAACCTTTAATTTTTGAACAAGTTCTGTGGAAGGAGGACTAACCTTTAGACCCGTGCGACAAGTAATGATGTGTAATCAAAATAGTTTGTCAAAAGTTGGTTATGAAATGAACGTGGATGGTTCGATGAGGGAATCCTATTAGAGAAAAATTTATAAAATGTACTAATACAATGATTCACATTAATTTGGTAAATTTTTTATTTAGTGTGATATGTTCATTTGTGAATTGTGATGAATGGTCAGGGGGGTGTCTTGATTTCATGAGATCGGTTCATGGGTTTTTTTTTCCCTTTCTGGTGATCAGCTACACGAGTACTGCTCTCTGGATTTGGCCTCGACATAGGAGCATCTATTCTATCTTATTTTTGCCATTCTCTTTTTGGGTGATACCCTAAATCATGAACAAAGAACAAATCACGAATTCAGTATTATTGGATTGATGATCAAGTGAGGCAACTGACCTGGGTTCTATATCTGTTCAATAGGTGTAATTTTGTTGGGCCCACGTCCCTTTTATCTTGCTTTTGGTTTGAAATGGGTCCATGGTGGGCTGTGAGTTTATCCATTTTGTGTAGCACACTTTTCTCTTTGAGGAAGCTAAGAGTGGTTGGATGAGTAATCCTACTGCCAAAAAAGAAAAGGAGGTGATAATGTAGTATTTGTTCTTTTAGCATTATATCTTTTGAACAGTTCCCCCATTATTTGTATATGCTTTGAGAGTATGATTCCAGAAGTATGTGTAAAAGCTTATCTTATCTTCGATATGAGATGAAATTATTAATCTCGGGTGTATGATTGTTGTTTTCAGGGCCCCTTTACGAACGAAATCAACTCTATTAGCACCACGAACAAGAGATCAAGAAGAAAGAAGGTAATTTTCTGCATCATTTATAGTTCACTGGCCTATGTTTTTTTGACTTGCTCGAGTTTTCCATATGTCACATATTCTTTTAGAGGAAGGTGAAAATCAAATGAATTGTGCTTATTATCTTCTCACTTGAGAAAGATTTGTAATCTCAAGGGTGTGATACTGAGGAAAATGACTATTGACCTTTGGCAGACTTTTACTGCACTTAAGGAGGAAGAGAGATCGCTGCTGAAGGAACAGATACATTTGAAGGGGGTATGCTTTTTTCTCAAAGCATCCAACTAACCTTGTCTTGTCCTAAATATGTTTGCCTGTGATCCTAATGTGTCTACTACTGTGACTTCTGTCAACAGGAGATAGCATCATTACGTGTGATGATGAATGAACAGAGAACCAGAAATGAAACCTTAAAGAGAATCAAGGTGAGATTTCCCTTTTTTCTTGCTAATTTATTAGTTTTATTCTATGATGGTAAATCACATGATCCAGAAATTATCTCATCGCCCTACTATTTGACCATCCAAATGGATTCTGGTTCAGCTTTTAAGTTTGAATTCCAATTGAGAAACTTCAAGAATCTCCGTAGCACCAGTTTTTCTCATGCTAAATCCAACCTATTTGATGGGATGTGTCTTGAATTTCAAAACAAACATTACCCATCTGCAATGGGTCTTCTGGGTCACGTTTGAAGATTGTTGCGATACTCGGTGTTGTGCTTTCACTGCTCTCTGGATTTGGACATATTAATCACACAATCTGTTTCTGTTTACCTCAGAATTTGACCGACTCTGTATTGTCTCTTTGTGATTGTGATCACAGTAATGAAAATTTTTGTTACAAGAATGTGTTAAGAAAGGTACCGAGTCCTAGTGCTTGACATTGCAACTCTTTAATTGTCATGGAAGCATTAGCACTACTCAGCTTTCCTGTGGATCCTGTAGCAGAAACTTGAGACCCTTCATGGNAGTAATGAAAATTTTTGTTACAAGAATGTGTTAAGAAAGGTACCGAGTCCTAGTGCTCGACATTGCAACTCTTTAATTGTCATGGAAGCATTAGCACTACTCAGCTTTCCTGTGGACCCTGTAGCAGAAACTTGAGACCCTTCATGTTGGATTATAGTAGTTACGTCTGTGATTCAGCACAATCTACTTGTATACATAATTTTTTTAGCGTGATTTCATTACTAATTTGGTTTCCTAGTTCTGATTTCGGATACAGGTTTCTGACGTTAAACTACTCTTTTTCTGCAGCTTTATTTGCGTAAAGAATCAAATAATAAAATAAACACAACATCAGATGAGCCAGGTGCAGCATTTTCCAATCAATGCTACAAGGTGGAAACATTTTCTTTTGATTGTGCTCATTCAATCTTGCCAAGACACTCTACAGCTCATGATGTAACATCATCCGATCAGAAGGGTGCCGAGGCCCAGGAAAAATGCTTTATTTTACCCGATCTAAATGTACCTGCATATGAAGAGGAAATTGGCTATGAGGTTTCAAATGGGATGAGCTGAGGAACAAGATTGCTTCTCTTTTCTCCTCTGATGCAAGTGACCATGGTATTGATTAAGGGGCTTCTTGGTTCAATAAACATGATCTGGTGATCCGGGACTTGCATACAGCGAGGGGCTCCCATTGTAAAGTATCAAAAATCTTCTTCACACTTGGGGCAAAGCCACCGATATGATGACTAAGCATGCTCTTTTTGCTGGACATTTACAAGCAAAAGAAGCTGGCGAATCATGAAGAAGATTTTGAGCGTAGTGTAGAGATTCTAGTGGGGATGGACGTGTAGAGAATTTGTATTTTGAAGGTATTATGTTTTTGCAGAATTCATTTGGGTAACCCTTTGTTACTTCTTGTTTGGAAAACATTAATGTCCCTTTATTTGTTTAGTTAGGTATATTGTTGTCAGATACCTTAGGACTTGTTTTAAGTTCATGTCACAATTTTGTCTATTCGATGGCTCATTTCAAATCATTTAAAATTAGCAGAATCTTGCATCTGCAAATATATGATCAGATTTTCCTTGCACACACAGTTTTTCTTCCTGACCCCCCACAAGACCAATTGTTTCTCACTTGTCTAATATATATTTGGCTACATTTTATGTGTCCTTCTCTCTTGACCCACGTTGCATTATCTCATTGTTTGTGCTAGGGAGAGAGGGCTTATTCCCTTGCAATGATTTACAAAAACCAAGTGCCTGCCCCACTAATGGGTCAATTTTATTTTGAAATTCTAGAGTGATTGATTATTCAATACAATGACGATATTACAGTATTATTGACAATTGAAAGCATTAATCAATTATAAAATAACAAATACATATCGTAAATTNTCAATTTTATTTTGAAATTCTAGAGTGATTGATTATTCAATACAATGACGATATTACGGTATTATTGACAATTGAAAGCATTAATCAATTATAAAATAACAAATACATATCGTAAATCGCATATAATCCAATGTTCTGGGCTTTATTTGGCAATAGGAGCATACCCAGCAGCATAATACGAACAGGACGACTTTAGCTAGGATGAGGGTAGGGTGCTCTGCATATCAAACACTAAGCTATAACCAAAGCAACTGTATTCAAGTCATTTGTCTTTTTTCTTTTTCTTTTTTTCGTTTTTCTTTTTTTCTCTTGTTCTTAGATACTTGATGAGCGAAAAATCAGCTCAGTAAAAAAAATATTTTGGGAAAAACTCCAATACGAGGAGTCCCGTATGAAAACTACCGTTGAGAGAGCTGTGAACCTCCAGCATGAATAGGACGAGATCTGAGCTACGCTAGGCCTGGTAATCAGTTCTACCCCACGTGGCTGAGTCTTGATAAAGAATCAAGGAATATGACTCTCTAAACAGGTTGGTGTCATCTTTGTGATTGGATAAAGGAGTTAAGACCCTTCACCCAGAGCAGTCTCACCCTCTTTATCATAAGAGGAGTCTTATCATTCCAACTGATTAATCAGGGAGCCCAGAATTCACTTCCAGAAGGAGTCTTTCCTCCTAGAGTTCAATCCTTGAGGGAAGGCAATCCATACATTTGTAAATAAAGCTCGAGGGGAAATACAAGAGTTATGCAACACTCATTCTATAATCACTATTAATTTCTTTTATAAAACACTAATTTAAGAATTGAAGGGTCAACCCCTCGGAACTCCGCCTCCGGCCTCTGACTTCCTTTTCCAGGTCATCGGAGCTCGAGCAATCTAACGTTGAGGTTGCTACAAATTTATGTCAATACTTATTGTTAAATTGGAATATGTCATATCTTTATTTACTAGATCAATATTTATTAATTTTGATCTTTTCTTACCAGCATAAATGTAGAATTAGGAATTGTTAATGCAGAATTTGTAGCAACCTCCAGGTCAGCTTACCGAACCTCCAATCACTTGAAAAATCAGTCGAAGTTTGGAGGGGCAATTTCAGGGATCGACCCTCCAATGCTTAAGTCATTATTCTATAAGAGAAATGGGGAGTTACTTTTTGAAGCGAATGTTACACACCTCTTGTGTTTTTCCCACGAGCTCTATTTATAAATGCAAGATTAACTTCTCTCAAGAAGAGGAGTCTAGGTTCTCTTATCCACTATTGGGAGGAAAGATTCCTACTGGGAGTGAATTCTAGGCTTCTCAATTAGTCTGTTGGAAGGATAAGACTCCTCTCATGCGAGGAGTCTTAGAGGAAGGGTGAGATTCCTCCTAGGTGGTAAGATTCCCTAATCCGCTGATAAGGGTGCAACTCCTCCTAGGTGAGGAGTCTTAACTCCTTTATCCCCCTCACAAAGACGAGGCCAACTGCCTTTTTTGAACAAGGATTCATTTTATTTTTGAATTACTCATAATCTTATCTCTTGATCTTTCGTCAAGACTCAACTACGTGGGGCAAGTTAGGCCGAGCATAGCTTAGGGCTCTTCTTTTCCATGCTAGAGGTATAGAGTTTTTTCAATGGTACTCTATGTATGGGACTCCTTATGTCAAAGTTTTTCCTACTGTGTCTTTTACTTAAATTGATATTTTCATCATGATAAATCACTAGGAGTGTACAAGAATCCGAAAATCTGACTCCGTGCCAGACTCTACCTCTATTGAAGTCGGAGTCAGAGAAAATTGCAGACTCTTATTGGAGTCAGAGTCGGAGTTGGAGTCTGCAGTCTATTCCAAAAAAACTCCGACTCCGACTTTTATTAATTAATAATTTTATATAAATTATAAATTACATAATATATTATTATAAATCCAAAATTCTAAGCCCAACTCACCAAAATATTTACGAAAAATTGTGAGAAGGTACTTTTTAAACTACTTAATTGTGAAAAAATATTTTGACTAAAATCTTTTGTAGATAAGTACTCTTGACTTAAAATGTATTGTATTTAGGTACACAATGATAGATTTTCATATTTTTCCTTTACTAAAATATCATTTTTCATATTTATTGGACTGTTTAGATTGGCAGTCCCATTTTTTATGGGATTTTATTTATTATATGAAGAGTTTCCTATTTTAATGGGACAGTGAATTTGAATTTTAAACTACATTTTCTTCTTAATTGTTCATTGTTTAATATTCTAAACTATACCTTCTTTTTCAACGTTTAAGCCATATCCGAGTTTTTAAGTCATCATATTGAATCACTATATGATCTTTATCTGTTCCAATAAATAAATTGAATTAAAATATTGTTACAAGCATTGTTCAAGAACGTTTCCAACGGATATTTGACATCAAACGTCAAACAACATCATGTTTGGGTTCATATTTTCGATTATAATGTAACTTTATGTTGAAATTCTTTTTTTATATTATTTTTTAATATTAAACAACATTAATTGTTCTCAAATCTAACAACAATGTCATTTTGCAATGTTACACTATGATGTAACATTGCTATTCATTAAAAATAATATATATAGATGTCACATTGTGTGATACATACCATTTAAATTTTAAATTGTGTATAAATCAGTGAATATAATTTTACATCTTTTTATCAGTGGTTAAAGTGTTAATAAATGTGTTGCATTGTCATGTATTACTTTAATGTCAAATTATTGGCAATTTGAATTGGAACAAGAGGAAGATCGATCTTTAATGGCGCTCCAACATATGTTCTGTCACTTCACATGCGTACAATTCAACTTCCTCAAAAATTTTGGGTGCTTGTATTTTTTATTTTTTTTTGTTAAAAATTGGAGGATTTTATTGCTGATTANTCTTTAATGGCGCTCCAACATATGTTCTGTCACTTCACATGCGTACAATTCAACTTCTTCAAAAATTTTGGGTGCTTGTATTTTTTATTTTTTTTTGTTAAAAATTGGAGGATTTTATTGCTGAATTTTTTTTTTAATTTGAAAACCATGTTTTGAGGGATATAACAATTTACTAGATTTAATAGGATTGTTGCATGNCCCCCCCCCCCCCCCAAAAAAAAAAAATCTCTCTTGCTCTCTCTCCTTCGATCGATCTCCCCCCTCTCTCCTCTCTCTCTCACAAGGACAAGTAGCCCAGTGCCTCCATCTCTCTCATTCTTCCAATGGAATAGCACGTAGTTCCTCATATCTGAGATCTCAAGAAAAATGTCTGACAAAGCCAGTAATTCTCTCTCTCTCTCTCTCTCTCTCTCTCTCTATATATATATATATATGTATGTGTGTGTGTGTGTTTGTGTTTACATTGTAAAATTTATTTACATTGTCAGCTATTTTTTTTAATTGTGTCCATTTTTGAAATTCCGATCCGACTCCGATTGACAGAGGCGGAGATAATGTATTGTAGAGTCAAAGTCGTAAGAAAAACTCACTCTGACTAAAGTCGGAGTCGGAGGTTGGATTGACGCCTTCCAACTCCATCAAAGTCGGTGCCCACCCCTAGAAATCACTCCTCTCTCTCTCTCTCTCTCTCTCATTTTGGCATTTAAACAGGGCCAACATTCAAACTGCCAACAAAGCCCATCCCATTGTTTCGCCGACCGTTCGACCATTATTCGCTTCTTTTTGTGTCCATTGGGCCAAACCATTTTCAGATAGAATGCGATTCTTTTACTTTCGGCAGCACAAAGTAGACTTCAATTCTTCCTAAACCCATCCCATTACTGCAACTATGAAACATTTCTTAATGGTTTGACCTCCTTTTGCTTTAGTTGTCACTTGTCAGTATCAAATTTTCCCAGCCGCAAAATACTTTGTTTTCACATCAAGGCGCATTATGGTCATAGTATTATTTTTGTTATAGACGCCAATGCCCAAGAGTGTGTTATTTCCTATTTATATAAAGGAGTCTAGTAGTTATTTAATCAAACTTCAGCAGAACTGAATAGATTTACAATTATACAGTTCTTAATGTAAAAACAACTCTAACTTTATTCAATAAAATATCTAGTTAGAATATATTTAAATATTATATTCTCTATTTTAACGAGCCACTTTTTTAAATTCACTCTACCAACACTCTCTGTTTTAGCTAACTATTTCAACTAATTGTAATTAACTTTTAATAATATAATTTAAAAATATCCCATAGCCTAATAATATAATTTAAAATTTTTACAAATATTTGCATTAATATTTTATAGGGTCTAAAATTAAATATTTCATTATACAAGAGGGTTTTCTATATTTGGGGGGAAGGGGGATTTTCAAAATTTGGGTTTTAGAGAAGGGGGTTTTTCAGAATGGGTTTGAGGAAAGCAAGGGGGAGGTGAGTTTCGAAATTGGGAGAGGGGATTTGTAGCTTGGGGGTGGGAGATGAAGATGATTACTTGGACCAACCCTTGGAGAAGACGATGCAGACAGAGGCGAGATCCCTACCAGCCACCAGCAACAAGAAGGAGCAGCAAGAGAAAGAGGAGATGAATACCTGGTTCATAGTTGAAGAACTTATTTACACAGCAGCAAGGAGCAACAAGCAGCAGCAGCAAGTGATGCAATTTCTCCTCTTCATATCTGACAAGCAAATTTAACTTCCTAGATTTTGGCGAAGTAGATGGCTAGTGAGTTGAAGCTAAATTTTTGAGTGTTGCTCGCCAAAATAACTAAAGAAAAAGGAATAGCCAGCAGAGTTGGAGTTACTCTAAAAGGGGAATAAGTAAGAACTGGGTTCTTTAGATTATTTAGCACAAATACAAAAACTCTTTTCCTAAAGACAGGTTTCAGTCTTCTACTGGAAAAATTTCCCTAGGAGTGTGTAATTTGTTTACTAAATTCTGTAATACTAAACATTTCATGTAGATCGGTCAAAATAAAGGTCGTTTAAACAGGTGAGAACTCATTGTTAAAAATGGGGGAAAAAAACTTGGGAATATTTCCATGTTCCATCAACCTTATGAGTTATGACTTGTGAGAAGCACCAGGTTTCTTAAGCAAATAATTGAACAGAAAAGCATAGTTACCAGAAACTCAACAATCCTAAACAACATAAACACCAATCACCAAATCAAATCCTAGAAACAGGCTCACAGTCACCCTGGAACCAAAGCAAACAGAAAATGAATCCATAAATGTTTAAGTCACACTACTAAATGCAATGCAAGAGCCCTTTCTTTTGCGTTAAATAAAGTAAATTCCAAGGTAAATTCAAGGAAATATTCAGCAAACCCTTTTCTTAAAAATTCCATGATTCTGCCTCAACTAGAATGCATCAAAATCCCGAATATGGTATACATGATGTATATGTTCATCTATCCCTTGAACATGGAACAATATGAAGTTTTCCTGTCAATGACTCTGATATCAAGTATCATCTGCGTAGATGACAAGCTACACTTTGTGTTTAAGATTTTCCTCTACAAGTTCAATACAGCGGTACAAAACTAACTCAACAGGGTTGAGGGCGCAAACAGAATCAAATGCCAGTTGATCATGATCCTTCTCGTTTTCTGCCACAATACCTGTAACCAAGGTACGTAGAGGTAGGAACCATTCATTGCAGGCCTTCTGTAACTTGTCCTTGGCCAGCAATCCAGTGTAATTGGTTTTTCCTGTTTCATTTCCAACTGTGGTCAGAAATACTAGTGGCCAATCGCAATTCCTGTTTCACTATTGAGTGGGTTCTTGCACATTGCCAGGGTTTCTAAAAGGTAGTATCACTTCCTACATAATGCATATTTATGGAAGGAAACAACTTGGAAACATTGTCAAATACCGTGGTGAAGTGCTCAAAATTAATGTGAGACTGAGTTGAAATCTGTCATTTTGTGCTAATGATGCTAAAAGTCAAGTTTATGTTACTCAATCCACCCTCAGCACTCTCAATTACCAGGGATCAAAGAAACAACTAGAATTCTTCTTATCCTTCTCCTCCTCTTCAATAGAAACTCCTCAACTTAGCCTTAACCCAAACTACATACTTCCGTTTGAACCATCAGCATATCCGCCTACGAAAGAAACCCTCTGTATTCTCTCTGGGCTCAACATTCCATGTAAGTAGTTAGGATTGATTCTCCAATCCAACTTGGGAATTAAGAGAGCCAAAGAATCATGATAATACAGATGCATGCGCTATCAATAAATACCATGGCATCCTCATTAAAACCTTAAGAACAAGCCAGCACATCTACTGGAAGTTATCTCTGCTTCAATTTCCCCCAGCCAACCCCCCACCACCCACCCCATCTCTCTCTTCGTTTTCCTTCTTTTCTAGAAAACCGAAAAAGAACTTGTAAAGTTGCCAAAGAGGTCCTTAGAAGTAGAGAAAGCTATTAAAATGGAGTCAGATAGTCTGAGAATAGGCAGTGTGATCTCACAAACTATTTCTTGGTCCTCACAGAAGCTATTAGAAAACCACGTCTCATGTTATTTAAAGCAATTTTCAATGCATCTCTTGCACTTGAGGGATGATTTTCACATCCAGCATTGACTTCTTTCAAATGCTTCTATTTGAATACTTGGCTTGACATGCATAAACAACGAAGCTATAAATTATCAGGGCATCTCGGGCTCACAATATGTATTATCATTTCTTTGATCCGAGTTCAAATTCATTATCTTTGGATTTTGGGTTTCTTAGGAAAATAAAAGATAGATAAATTCTTGATTTAGTTTCACTTCTTTCTGATGTAGGACATCAGTGGACCTGAAAATTCAGCACTGTTCAAGGCTGTGAAGAGTACCCGTGAACAGGATTATTGAGGTAGGATGTGCTACTTTATGGGTTATGGTTCGATGGATTGTTTGATAAAAGGGTAGGGTTTTGTAGACCACTTTTAAGGATATAAAGAATAAAATTTCAAATCTGATTATGAGGTTTAATACTTAAATAAATGCAGAAAAATAGAAGAAAATAAGAAGAAGAGAACTAGGAATCACTCCTAGGGTTCTTTAGGCGTCACACAATCCCATAGCAAATAATTGCATAAATTTTATGGTAAATATCTCTCTCCTTTATTTAAACATCACTAACTATATATAGAGTTTTAAGGATTCCTAATCCTAAAAGATTAGGATTCCAAAGTCTTTATGACTACAAAAACTCTAAATCACTTAAAATTAGAAAACTAACAAACTAAAACTAGAGCATTCAACACTAGAATTTGACAAAAAAGATGACCCATAGGATCAGACTATGACTCACTCAAGCTACCCTTGAATCTAAAAAACGTTAAAAAGGACATGAAACACTAATACTATCAAATTGACTCAAACTAACCCAAAATAAGACTCAAAATACAATAAATGCAAGGTTCCATATGGATCTTTGTCATGATGACATGTAAATTCCATTATTTTTCAAATCTTTGAATTTGTGTTTTCTCGAACATCTTATCGATTGCATCACTTTCCTTACTCTATGATATTTACATAGATCAAGAGTTCCTTGATAAAGGAAGATGAATGCTTGAGTCATCTAGGTGTGTCTTGTGTAAATCATTCTTCGAGTCCTTGATTGATGATCCTTCTTACTTAGTTCTTCTCCCCTCTTTGATGATTTGGAAGGCTAAAGTTTCAATTAAGGTGAAGTTTTGTGCATGAATTAATACTAATGAAGTGCTTCAATCAAACGAAAAGATCTCCAATTTTCCTGGCTCCACTATGATGTGTTATATGCCATGGTGAAAGTGAAAGTATTGACCATCTTTTTTTTTTTTTTTTGGATTGTTCTATTGCTTTAAGTTTGTGGAATAGGTTGTTTTCATTGGCATGTTTGAGTTGGGTTACTCCTTGGTCCTTTTCTTCCATGTTTGTTGAGGACTTGGCTTTGGAGTGGTTGATGATTTATGGAACCGTAATTTTTTTTTTTTTTGGCATCCTTTTGGGCCTCAATCACTAAAGACATTTGAGGGTATTCCACTCTTCTGAATCTCGGCTGGATGGAAGGATGTTTGTGGTCTATAGACAGCCCAATTTTGGTAGCTTTTAGACTAATTATGCTTTTTTCCTTTGTTTTGTAATTTGTGTCATTGAGGTTGGATCTCTATTCCAATTTTTTGCCTTGTGCAATGTTTTTGATAGTATTAATAAAATTTATGTTTCTTATCAATAAAATTATCAGCATGTAGACTCACAAAACAATTACCAAAAGATCATCTCTGCTTGACACGCAAATGGCCACAGAAACAAAAGCATGGCTATAACCCTTCTTCAACTATCAAGTATTGAAGAGGTGATTTTACCTGTTGATTCCGTGATCAATACAAATCTGTACAGGTTGAGGGCAGACAGAACCTGAAGAATATTGTAAAAGTACATCACTTAAGTAAATAACAGTTTAATCAAGAAAGAAAATGTAGTGTACAGTGGTTTAATAACAGTATAAATCCCAGGATACACAGTTCAACAGACTATCTCTATTATTCTTGTCAGAAAGAGTTCGAAATAAAATATATGAATCAGGGTATCACTACATGCACTCAACTTTTAGTTTTCTGCACTCCAAGTCCCATGAATTCATAATTCCCCCTCTTATTATAATATTCTGTAGGAAGCAACATGAGGTGCAAAAGCATCTCTCATTCAGAACGTGCCACAAAATACTTTCGGACTTTCAATTTAACATGGAACTACAGACATAATTGTCTTGTACCAAGGCAATAACATAAAAGCATAAACACCCATTCAACAATTTCCTGAAAGAACAACGACACTCTGGTAATCAAACACAATACTGCAAAAAAGTAATAGATATTGTGAACATTAAAGACGCTTTAATATTCTTTTCGGATTGCAAACTGGTTGTAAAACCCTATAACTTGTTGACAAAAGACACCATTGTTACCAAAGTGCTCAGGTAAATACAATTCCAGATGCAAAAGCAAACACAACTCCCCCTTCGTAATCTTTACATAGGTTTGTAGCATGACGAAAATAAATCAGACTGGAAATTTAACAGAGATGGCACACAATACGCAGACCGGGCAATGTAGTGCAGTAAAATTAAAAGCAATGTGTGTGCACCAATGAGCAATTGTGTGCTTATGCAAGTGTGAGTGTGGCAGTGAGTGTTTGTGTGTGTGTGTGTGTGTGTGTCAGAGAGAGAGAGAGTCAGAGAGAGAGAGAGAGATACTGCATCACTGAACTCAGGGAGGGATGGAGGTCCTCCCTTTGGAGGTCTAAACACAAACTCCAACAATTCAAGGACACCAGTGCTCCAGAATATTTTAAATTGAGGGCCATTATCAATTGCTTGTAGCCTCTGGCGATATTCCATGTGCATTTCCTCTTTAAAACAATCCATAATAATAGCAATCTGTACAAATATGTAAAACTAGTTCAAAGTTTGTTATTGCATTTAAACTTAAATCCATATGCTTTTAAATCAAGCTAGCTGATTTAAGGGGCTTACCATAGAAGAATAATCACTATTTTTTATCAAAGCTATTAAAATGTCAAATCTCAGAGAAGATGGAATGTCAGCAAGTACCTGATTATTTTGGGCAAAAAGATGCAGACATCAATATAGAAGGACATAAGTATAGCTACATAAAGTAACTCTCGATAATAAGGAGCTGTTAATAACATTTCCAGCTTTTTAATTACAGATGATCAAGGTGTTGAGATTATCTATCTCATACATACCGAAAAGAAAATATCTATTTCATAAAAATGCACACCACACACATGCTTCTTCTGGCAATAAAACTTAAAAAATAACTTGGCAGCCAGTGCAGATGCTGTTCACAACCGCTAATGTAGTTATGAAATGAATAGGCTTCGTTGATCAATTTGACGCCATTAACCAAAAGAAACCAAGGCCTCGTACCAGTTCATTGAGGGTAACAAGATTAAATAAATCACAAGGATAGGGCATATAATCATTATTCTATATGAAAGCTGATTGAGAAATGTCAATAAGGTGGTGAAACACAGAACCCCAAGGAAAATGGCCAGACACCAATTGTCCTGGGCACTCTTATATGGCACGAGGACGTTCCTTGTGGCGCTTTTAGGAGTGCAACCAAGCATGCCAACAAAGTCCCTAAGGCAGCACACATACAAAGCACAGGCAAGTACGTGCCCCAGGAGAAAAAAAGGAGAGAGAGAGAGAGAGAGAGAGAGACCAAGTATACCAGGTAGCAGACGTAAACAGAAACACAAAAGCTAAGAGAAAAAAATATTCACTTATACTATGATACTTTACAAAAAGAACAATGCCACATTTTTAATAGATTCGTACGACCCACATATGCTTCAGACAAGCTTTAGTATATGTCTAATCCGCACCTCATATCCAGACTATTTAACTGAACCTAATGCCAGATAACAATGGCATTGGATTCTAGTAATACAGTGAACCAAACATGGTCTATAGTATGTTCTTAAAGGGCATGCTTCACACTTTCATCCACCTGTTTCTTTAATTTGCTTTTCTTATACAGTGAATCACAAGTTTTGCAGCAAAAGATTTGAGAAATTTTAAGATTCAAAAGTAGCAGTGGCAATAAACATAGTTCTCAAAATTGTAAGATTCAGTTCAATTCAGGCAAAAATCGACAGGTATCTATACAAAAAACGCCTTCGGGCAAGAGACGGTGGTGAATTGAGTTGGATTGCACGAATTGCACAAGCCAGCTTGATTCATGTGATTCATACAATTCCAAACCCTAACCCATCAAGTCTAATAGGATCTGAAGTCGGATCCAGTTAGGCCCCACATGTTCTGTTTTTACTACATTCTTTTTTCATTTTTCTTGTATAGAATACATCTTAGGGGTGTTTACGGGGAAAATAAACAATAACCATGAATTATTATTGTTTATTTTGGTAATTCAAGGTTTATTAATCACCAAAATAAAAATATCTTCCTTATTCAAAAAATACACATATCTTATTTTCTTTCATATATAAAATTGTTTAACAAATGAATTTTGATTTGGAAACTATGGCAACAGTTCGTAACTTTACTTGTAGTATAGTAGCGACCTGTTACAAAATTATTAAACATAACACAACAAAGAACCCAGCCTAGATTCCAAATGAGGATCTTGTGAGCTACTAAATGATAATTAAAAAACAAATCTCCGACAAGAATGATTACTTCATTTAACGACTCTATATTTTTTATTCATTTAATGACTATATTTTTTAGATGACACAAATTATCAGTACATGCACAAGATGAAGCTTCATGGAGTAATTACACATTAGAAGAACAACATAGAAACACCACACTCCACAAGTTTTGCTCAAAAGACAATGGACTTAAATAGCTAATTACCGAACTTGGTCCTTGTTAATGGGGAATGGTGGAAAGGGTGGACTGGTTATGAATCTCTAACATTTAACATTATTTGCACAAAGTGCCTGCCCTAAGAAGCCACAACCTCACAGTTCTTGCATGACCACTACGATATAATCTAGTTGATAATCCATAGTCCATCAATATTTTTGTTTGCCACAATGATTCTGCTAAGGTTAACAATTAGAAGCATAACCTCCCGATGATCAGGTTGTTAATTATAGATCAACCAATTCCTATAAAGGGGTGTAAGAATCCGAAAAGCAATTCAAAAATCAGTTTATAAATTACCTAGCAGAAAATTATTTAAGAAACCAAAACCAATGTGATCTATGTCAAGCATGATCATCGGNCGCACAAGCCAGCTTGATTCATGTGATTCATACAATTCCAAACCCTAACCCATCAAGTCTAATAGGATCTGAAGTCGGATCCAGTTAGGCCCCACATGTTCTGTTTTTACTACATTCTTTTTTCATTTTTCTTGTATAGAATACATCTTAGGGGTGTTTACGGGGAAAATAAACAATAACCATGAATTATTATTGTTTATTTTGGTAATTCAAGGTTTATTAATCACCAAAATAAAAATATCTTCCTTATTCAAAAAATACACATATCTTATTTTCTTTCATATATAAAATTGTTTAACAAATGAATTTTGATTTGGAAACTATGGCAACAGTTCGTAACTTTACTTGTAGTATAGTAGCGACCTGTTACAAAATTATTAAACATAACACAACAAAGAACCCAGCCTAGATTCCAAATGAGGATCTTGTGAGCTACTAAATGATAATTAAAAAACAAATCTCCGACAAGAATGATTACTTCATTTAACGACTCTATATTTTTTATTCATTTAATGACTATATTTTTTAGATGACACAAATTATCAGTACATGCACAAGATGAAGCTTCATGGAGTAATTACACATTAGAAGAACAACATAGAAACACCACACTCCACAAGTTTTGCTCAAAAGACAATGGACTTAAATAGCTAATTACCGAACTTGGTCCTTGTTAATGGGGAATGGTGGAAAGGGTGGACTGGTTATGAATCTCTAACATTTAACATTATTTGCACAAAGTGCCTGCCCTAAGAAGCCACAACCTCACAGTTCTTCTTGCATGACCACTACGATATAATCTAGTTGATAATCCATAGTCCATCAATATTTTTGTTTGCCACAATGATTCTGCTAAGGTTAACAATTAGAAGCATAACCTCCCGATGATCAGGTTGTTAATTATAGATCAACCAATTCCTATAAAGGGGTGTAAGAATCCGAAAAGCAATTCAAAAATCAGTTTATAAATTACCTAGCAGAAAATTATTTAAGAAACCAAAACCAATGTGATCTATGTCAAGCATGATCATCGGATACAAAGCAACAATTAAATAAATTGGAAATAAAACATCCATGCATATAAGGTCTCTGAGGTCCAAATACAGCAAAAACTCAGTAACATGCATAGACACAAAAATTCCACAGCAAATCGAATCATCAATACATTCCCTAGTCACTGATAAAACAATTGTAAGAATTTGTATATAAATAATAGCACATCAGCAATTCCAAGGCAGAGGGTTACAAAACTCTGACCTTTTTAAATGCATCAAAAGCATTCTTCCGTAGAACTGTATCGGATGCATATATAATAACCATTTCAACGGCCTGGACTGTTTTAGTTTAACAGTTAGAGAATACATCGACAAACAAGAAATCTAAGTATTAACTCAGGAAATGGCAAGAAACAACCTGCAGAGCAGTATAAAGTGTATGCATATAAGTTGAGCAGTCGCTGTGTTCAGCCTGGCAGTCATGGGAGACACTTCCCTCCAAAATGCAAAGTAAAAAATTGATGGCATGCTTCTTCAATTCCCACGCCAGATTGACCCAAGAAAATATATGCTTTAACATGCCTATTGCTTCCCACCTCTTTGTCTGGTTACTTCGAAGTTCATCTTTGACTGAAGTCAAATCTGCCTCAGCAGCCACAGAAACCTCATCGGACATATGACCCCAGATCACTGCATCCATATAACAGCATGAAATGGTACAAGTAACATAAGCAGGTAAATATTTGGGCAATCAACATCATCACCTAAGGGGAGGGGGAAAGGCAACAAGATAAATTGTATTGATGAATAAGAACCTGCAAGTGATGCTCCATGCTTGACATAAGAAAAACAACTCATATAGTCATCTCCATCATCTGTAAGTTTTAAGAATGCATCACATGGACAACACTGAATGATAATAGGGCTTTGCTGATGAGAAATGAAGATTTACCTCCAAGAAAAATGCTACTAATCATGTCAACACCGCACCCTGTTATTAAACCAAGGAATGATAAACCACAATATGGAAGGAAATGTGACAATTGCGACACCAAGGGAATGCATCTTGAATCTTTATCGCCTATGCTAACCGAAACAAGAGCCTGCACATCAAAAAAGACTATTGGAATAACCTAGCATATAAAGCAACACCAAAGAAAGAATAAAAAACCACTAAAGAAATTGAATTGAATATCAAAGTGAACCCGTATAAAATTCAATATTGGAACTTAGGCAGCGAGATATAAGAAAACAGAATTGTGCAATAACAAGGAGTGTCAACCATGACTTGCAAGACAAATAGGCCACATAGAGCATGAAGTTTTTTGTTTTCTTCCTCCTCCTGGTACAGAGAGTGAGAGTTAGATTATAAGGACCTCATAAAGACACAAAATAACCTGATAAAATAGGGAAATTTTTTTCAAAAGTTTCACAGACCAACTTTGCGCAAATTGCTTGGATAGAATGGGCAATGCCAATTGCTTTGTAAAACAAATCCCCAGAATCTGTATCTTCATTGTCTGACTCTGAAGACATGGCCTTCAAAACATCAAGGATAACAGGAACTGCAGCTTTTACTTGCTCAAAGTGCCGCCTTGGAATGGCAACAAAAACTGAAAACCATGAAACATATGCACCAACAACTTTCTCAGCCCCCAGTGGGCAAAGTATGTAGCTTCTATGTGTTTCATAAACCGTCAAATATTAAGTAAACAAGACAAAGCACATTCAGATGACCATGGAAACATGACTGAATGACAACTTGTGCAACAAGTCTTTTGAACCTGATACTAGGTTATTGCTAGTTCCTCATAAATGATCAAGAAGGCTTACTGAATGGTCACATAATACGCAGCAATCTTGCATAGACTAGGAAAAACAGCTCCACAACAAACATCAGTCTCCTCATGTTTGTTATTGTCAGAGTTCTTATTTTATATATTAAACATAAGTTACAACAGACTATTCTCTTTCTCTTTTTCTCCTTTCTTCTTTCCTCTTCTTCTCTTTCTTACAAACACCCTAATTCCATTCTACAACTTCAACTTAGTATTAGAGCAAAAACAAATTTAGGCAAAGACCCATAAAAAAACACCACAAAAAAGAATAAAACAAAATCCAACCCCAATTAATTGCTGAAGTCAACATCAGAATACTAACATCAGCGCCGGTGACTTTCCAGCAACAAAACCTACTGTCCTAGTCAATTTCTTGCCCTCTTCTTTATGGTGATTTTTGAAAATTTGTTTGAAGCCATCTAGGTAAGGTTTTCTATTTTTTTTAATATTTTTAGGAGCTATTTTCCATATCTACAGATTTGGGATGGACTGTTGCTTGGATCTGGAACCTTGGGTGACGATTTGGACTTCGAATATGTCTTGTGATGTCCAGCTGTGATTGAGTGGGTTTAGAAGGCTTTTCTGGATAGAAGAGGTGCCAACAGTGCTGTTAGGGGCTTCGAACTGCCTCGTTTGGCTTCGATTTTCTCTATATCTCCTGCAGCTGGCTTCGCCTTGCTCCAGATCTGCTCCATCTGTTCACCAGCCTAGTTTTTTGTTGTTCGTGGTCTAGATGTTTGAGATCTCTTCCAGTTTCCACATCTGTTGTTTGCTTTGTCCATTGTTTTCTTTGGCCTTTGTGTGTCCTGTAAGGCCTGCTGTGTGGTTCTGGGTTGTGCTTGGATTGTGATTGTTGCTTTGTGGTGACTTTTCAGATCAGTTCTCTGTTTGTTTGGTGAATATCTGTCATGCCTTCGCAATTTTGAAAATTCAATCCTACTTGGTTATTCTGTTGCGAGGAGTGTTTGATTAAGTGTCGACACTATGTTGGCTTCCTTGCCGGGTTTTTCTTTTTGGTGATTTCTTGCTTCGGAGTTGTTATATGTGATGTCCACACACACTATGGGTGCTCTTGTGTGATTTGGGATTGAAATCCATACTCGACATTTACGATTGGGGATCATTTAGTTTTTTTATTGTCCGACATTGCCTCTTTTATTGTGGGTTTCCCCTGGCTAATTTGAGTGGTAAACATGATGGTAATTCTGATCCTGGTCATCGTTTTGAGTGGAAGTATACTTATTGTGTTCGCACGGGCCATACTGAGTCTTATTATTGGGATAAATTTGGGAGACCAACTTATGCTACTCAGGCTCCTAAGGATACTTTGAGCTCTCTAGTACATCAGACTTCTACCAATCGTCCTTCTCAACTTCGTCAGCTCATCCAACAATTATCTTCACTTTCTCTACATTTTTCTCTTCCTACTATCGGTCTTGTTAACAAAGGTAACTTTGCATGTATGGTTGTTCAACCTTCTTCGTCACCTTGGATCATTGATTTTAGGGCTAGTACTCATATGTCTAGTATGTCTTCGTTATTCTCTAATTTTTCGTTTATCTAATTTACGTATTGTGTTAGCTGACGGCTCTTTTCGACCAATCCATGGGATTGGCAAACTTTGTCCCACTCACTCTATGTCGTTAACTTCTGGTTTGTTTGTTCTTAATTTTCCCTTTTAACTTGTTATCTGTAAGTCAGCTTACTAAGTTATTATAATGTTCTATAACATTTTCTCTATCCTCTTGTATTTTTCAAGATCTCAATACGAAGAAGTTAATTGGTTTGGGACATGAGAAATATGGCCTTTACTACTTAGATTCTGGTGGTTCTATTCCTGCCTTGAGTGCTACCGTGTCTCCTCTTCAGTGGTACTTCTAACTGAGTCATCCCTCATTGCAAAAGCCGCAGCAAGTTATTCCTGATTTGAATCCTTCTGTGTTAGAATGTGAGGCTTATCAATTAGGCAAGCATCACCGTAATTCTTTTCCCCCTAATTCTTCAAGTCGTCAATCTAGCCCATTTCATGTTGCTCATACAGATATTTGGGGTCCTGCACAAGTCAAAAGTATTTATGGGTTTCAATATTTCATGATATTGGCTGATGATGTCTCTCGTATAAATTGATCATTTCTTATGAAGGATTGTTCTGAATTACCTAAAGGTTTTACCACTTTTTATAATAAAATTCTAACTCAGTTTGATATTTGTATTAAAGTTCTTCAGTCTGACAATACCCTTGAATATACTCAATCATTTATGAAAATTTTTTGTGTTGATCATGATATTATCCATCAAACCACTTGTCCTCATACCTACCAACAAAATGGCGTTACCAAACGTAAACATCATCATTTATTAGATGTTACTCATACCCTCATGTAACCAAACCTTATTGGACAGACGATGTTCTCACTGTAGTCTATCTTTTTAATCGGATGTCTTCTCCTATCTTAGGTAACAAATCTCCATTCTCCTTACTCTATACAAATACATTGCTTTTTAGTCTAACTCCTCATGCATTTGTTTATGTTGCATTTGTTCATCTTCTTGGTCCAGGTCGAGATAAACTTTCACCTCGTTCGGTTAAGTGTATCTTTATGGGATACTCTCATACTCATAAAGATTATTGTTGTTATGACTCTATCTCTCGCAGGTATTATGTCAATGTTGATGTCATCTTTTTTGAGTCTTACTTTTTTTTTTCTAATACAGAAACTACTCTTTCACTAGATTTGATCTCTACTAGTATTACTTCTTGTACCTTATGGTATATCTTCTCCCTCTATAGTTGCTAACCCTCCATTACAGTGCTACCATCATTCCATGAATAGACAAGTTGTTCCATATGCTCCAGCTCCCTGACCAATACCTGATTCCACTGAGGTCCTTTTTCCTGAGTTATTTGATTTGCCTATTGCATTGCAAAAAGGTACTCATACTTATACCCAACATCACATTTTTAATTTTGTCTCTTTGCATCGACTTTCCTCTTCATTTACTTGTTTTGCATTCACTTTGTCTTCTATCCTTGTTCCTAACTCTTTGAAACAGGTATTAACATCTCTGGGATGGAAACTAACTATAGATGAGGAAATTAAGGCACTTCATAAAAATCATACTTGGGACGTTACTTCTCCGTTTGGGTTGCAACTCTTAGTTGTCATTGGATATATACTGTAAATATCATCCTGATGGTTCTGTTGAGCAATTGAAGGCACAGTTAGTTACTAAAAGGTACACTCAAATCTATGGTGTGAATTACTGTGAGACATTCTCCCCTGCTCATCTTAACTCTATTAGAGTTCTTATTTTTTCTATAGTCAGTTTTGGCTAGATCTTGTATCAACTAGACATAAAGATTACATTATTAGACAGAGATCTACAGGAGGAGGTATATATGATTCCACCTCTAGGTTATATGATTTCAGGCCAAAGAACAATTAGTGTGTCATTTAAAGAAGGCACTATATGGCTTAGAGCAATCATCACTTACTTGGTTTGATAAGTTTAGTACCATTGTACTTCAATTTGAGTTCAATTTCACTCATCAGTATTCTGCTGGCATTATTATAGTTACTGTGTATGTCGATGACATCATCATCAGTGGAAATGACTAAGATGGTATTGCTCACTTCAAGCCCTATTTGGGAAAATAATTTCATACCAAAGACTTAGGTCTTCTTCGGTACTTCCTATAGATTGAAGTTGCCCATTCAAAGGAGGGTATCAGTTTGTGCTTATTATCTGAAATAGGTACTCTTGGTGCGCGTCTAATTGATATTCCTATGAACTCTACGATTAAGCTAGATCCGGACAATAGAGAAGCCTTTGATGATACAAGGCGATATCGGCGATTGATTGGTAAACTAATTTATCTTATAGTTACACACCCTGATATCACATATGTTATTGGTGTGGTTAGCCAGTATATGCACGCCACTCATAAACCTCATTGGGAGGTTGTATGCCGCCACATCCTTTGGTATCTAAAAGGGCTCTAGAGAAGGGTTTATTCGTTCTCATAATTCATAACTGTTGTTGGTTTTTTTAATGCTAATTGGGCAAGTAGTCGTGGTGATAAACAATCTACGTCTGGGTAAAGCACATTTGTTGGTGGTAATTTTATTACTTGGCGTAGTAAAAGCAGAATGTGGTTACACGTTCTAGTGCAAAAGCTGAGTATCGTACTATGGCACATACTGCTTGTGAGATATCATGGGTACGCTCTTTACTCCGTGATATGAGACTTGATGTGTCTTTCCCAATGAAGATGCACTATGATAAGCAAGCAACTATTTTCATTACAAGTAATTAGGTATTTCATGCGCGTACTAAACACATTGAAGTAGATTGACATTTCATTCAAACCATTTTCGTGCAAAAGGAGATCATCACTCCATATATCAAGTCTGGTGATCAACTGGGTGATATTCTTACTAAATTGTTGGCTCGGTCCTCCTTTAGTAGTTTATGTTCCAAGCGGGGTATTTTTTATCTGTATGTTATAGCTTGAGGGGGAGTGTTAGAGTTCTTATTTTATATATTAGTTATAAGTTAGTTTGTGTAGGGTAATATTATAATTACTTTAATATTACACAATTATAAATAAGAGTGTAAGGCAACCTAAACTTGCACAACAAATTATTCTCTCTCTTCCCCTTTCTTCTTTCCTCTTCTTCTCTTTCTTACAAACCCTAATTCCGTTTCTACAACTTCAACTGTTATGTTACAGCTTGTCAAACATCAGTATTATGTAGCCTCCCAAACTGCCATGTAAACCTTGCGGTCTTCACCACGTAAAAATTGATTTTGCGTTAGATGCTTTAACATTATGGCGGAGCTAAATTTTGGGTCCTAAATGTTTCCTCTTTACATCTACTTTTTCCAATGCCTCTTATTGGTCACACAAATCTCCACCATTATCGCATCAGTCCCTATCATTTGGAGAAAACTCACCTAGAGTGCAAGTGCTGAAGCATAAGAATCCAACAGCTATGAATTTTCATCCATGGCTTCGGAGTAAAAGACAAGATATGAAACCATCTATTTATCTTAGTTTGAGAAAGTAGGAGAACTAAGAAATATCCAATCTCCTGTCTCCTCAATTATAGTATGCAATTTATGAGGAGTGACATCAACTAATAGATGGGTTGAAGTAGAAATGACCTATAAATTAAAACATGATGGTATCGTCGTAAACTCAGTACAACTTCAAGGAGGTGGGCGCCCATATAAAACTTCAAACGGTCTTCGTTTGGTTGCCGAATTATAAGTGGTATTGTACCACTATTCTGCCCATTGTAACCAACGTACCCATTCCCTTGGTCTATCGCTTGTAAAGCATCCCCGGTAGTTCTCTAAGCACCGGTTAACCACCTCGGTCTGGCCATACATCAAGCTCCATTTTGTATTAACAACTGTAAGATCACTATCAGATTTTGTCCCCTTGACCTCTTCTTTCAGTAGGATATCTGCTTCTGCTTTGCCTTTTCAGTCCCTTCTCGGATAATTAGTGGACTGGGCTGAAACGCTTTAAGCTTATAAAGTTAACTATTCCATCCTAGGTAATTTTGGATTATTTCTCTAAACAGTTGATTAAAAAAGTCCATTGGTTGTTAATCAGAATGCATTGTGATGTTAAACTGTTAGTATCGTTTTTAGTGTTTATCTCAAGTGACTTTGTCATAACATCCATACAAGCTCCCAAATGACTCTTGTAAGACATGAAATAATATCTGTCAGCCAGTCCATTATAATTTGCATCTCTGTCACATTACGAAGAATGACAATGAAATTGAGCATCACGGAAACCCAAAAAGAGCTTTATGAACGTTATACTTGTTGTCTATATTCTATAAGTACATTTAGTGAGAAAGAATAATCAATGAAAAATGAAAATGATAAAATGTGAAAAGAAAGAAATATAAATAATTTGTCTTCTTTTGCATACATTTGATCACGACAAACAATTTTCTTACAAGTTGTAGAAAAATTACAGTTTCTAGTTTGGAAAGGAGGGAACTTGCCTAATTGCCCTTACTCATACAGAAAAATTAATGGACCTCAGAAGGTTTAAATCCATCTTTCTTTACAAACACTTCTTATATTTTTTTGGAAGCAAAAAATTATTAATAAAAATTGACCCTCATGAGCCAATAATGACTTAGTTTCATTTTACGACTAGAAGACCAAGAAAGGCATAAGGAAAAAAAATTCACTGGTCCAAAATTCCTATATCTATATCAAACAAAAAAACATGTTTCAACCAGTCATAGAATACAAGACATGGGTTTGAAATAGAAACAGCTCACAAATTGAAAATATGGAGAAAAATGGTAAATTGAGGATTCAAGTATACATGACCGTTTTCAAGGGAAGTTTTAAATTTTCTTAAGTTTTTTGTAGGAAAAAAGTTGGCTACTTGTCAGGAAAATCCATCCAAATCCAATGCAAGAAATTTACTTCCCCACTTATTTTTCATTTCTTGATAACCAAACTCATGGAAAGATTCTCCAAAATTTTCCAGCATTCTCCATGAAGCCTATAGCTATCAATGAGTATCTAGGGAGGGTTGAAATCTGATAGGAACTTGGATTCCATGTTTGAAAAGTAAGAAACTTTGAATTATCAACGTCCTAAACAAATAGAAAGACCCATATCCCACCTACAGACCAAAAAACCACATGGGTCAAACCATTGCAAAAAAAATTTAGACGTGCCAAATACTTAAACTCGTAAAACAGTAATCTGGAATAAACTTTGTCCACATGTTCACGTGCAAAAAAAACACATTAAAAGAGACAATAGTAAAAAGAGTGAATTTGTTGATGTATTTCCCTCTTGAAATGACATGGCAGGGCTATCATATACTGTGCCTGGCAACTGAATTCTTTAGAACAAAGGCAGCTTAGGAATTAATAAACAGTGGGCCAAGAGAACCGTGTTTAGTGTGCAAGACCATCTTCTAGTTTTACTTATTTCAATGTCGTTGATAGGAAGCCGATCCTTCATAATACATGCATGAAATATGGAGAGCAAATGCATTCGTGTCCTGAAGCAAAGATCAGATATTCCTCAGACTCAACCAAAACAAATATTTTCTAGAGATTGCATGCACTTTGAAAGATATCAATCACAAGGATGCCACGTAGCTCATTCCCACCTACTATTTATAATATTACCTTTTGCAAGCCCACCTAGAAGAGGAGAAAAATAACCAGGTATGCCGAACTTATTGCTTGGAGCACCTAATGCCTGGTCAAATTGAGAATAAATGTATATGAATCCATGAAATCAAAAGACTAATCCCAGCAGTTATTAACCTATATAATCTAAAAAATTTAGCTACGAACTTCCAAAATACCAGAATCAATGAGGATATGAGAATTGTACAAGTGCTACTATTTATATAAGAAACAACACTTCCAGTTCAGAGAAAGTAGGAAAAGTAAAAAAATGGTGGATAAGATATCCACCCAAAAACAAAATAAATCAATTGAGCAGGGTACAAAACAGTTTATTTTTCAGCCGCCCTACACAGTTTATGCCACAAGAAAAGTGCAGGGGGACAATGAAGGAATAAATGATCAACACTTTCCCCGCTTGTCCTTCACATTACACACCATTGAGGAAAAAGACAACCTTGAGGCATCCTCCTTTGCAACAATTTGTAAATATTAACCTTCCATGACCCACAGTCCAAACCAGCGCATGTACCTAGGAGACATTCTAGCCTTTCTAATCAACGACTGAGGCTGAAAGTCAGGGAGTATGAGATTACCAATAACCAACGGAAAAAAGAATTGCAAGAAAAAACTCCCAAAGAACCAAGTGACCACAATCTCTTATCAATAATTTGCTTGGTCAAGGAAACTGACTCTAGCAAAGATAATGGGATGGAAGTATCAAAATTTCCCAACCATTTGAATTTTTGAAAAACTTCAAATTACCTCTATTGCAGAGAAAACATGAATTGAGGCAGTCAGTGCAAGTACAAAAATGAACATGAGGAGATGTCATGAAGGGTGAGCAACTAGTCTCATTAACCCTCCCGCACCCCCACGGTCCCAACCCAAAAAAGAAAACCTAAAATATGTTGGAAATATAGTGGGTCATACATACTTATGGTAACATATTCTGGCTTTCAAGATGTTTGGTTTACGATTCTATTACGTGAGCGAAAACGATGGCTCACACACTCATACACTATAATCTTGTACTTATTCAAGGAACTAAACTTTTATAGTCTATAAGCACTTCAAGCCCCGTTTAAGTGTAAAACCTCCATACCCAATGTTTCAAGACATAATTGAAGAACCAAAATTTGATATTGGATGTCATATGTCATGGAGTTATGGATTCATATCCCCTTGCCCCGCTGCTTAGTATGCCTGTTTTTTTCTTTCTCAGTTCCACTCAGTCATTGTTAGGGGGAAATATACCCATACCACCCATAAGTATTGTAATACCCCGTTCCATTTTGGCAAGGAACTAGTTGGGGAATATTATCTTGGAAGGAATAAGAAAAATTTTTAAAGAAGAATTTAGAATAATCTAGAATGTTGAAGAAGTTTCTAGAAAGTTCTAGAAGAATCCGAAAATTTCTAGAACAATTTAGAGAAGTCTAAAATATTTTAAAAGGTTCTAGGAAATACTAGAAGGTTTTAGAGGGATTTAGAATATTCCGAAAAGTTCTGGAAAGACGTAGAAGGTTGGAGAAGGCTTTAGAATATCATAAATAAATCTAGATACTTGTGAAATTGTCATGTGCAAAATAAGCATGAAAACCTAGAAGGATCTAGGAAAAGGGAGATGGTAGAATATTCTAGGAAATCTCCCCTAAAAATGTCACATGTCAATATTCTCTAAAACAATTCTAAGATGCCTATAAATAGGGCATTTGGGGATTGGATTAACGGAGAAGGGCACAAGTAGTCTTCCACTTTCAAGAAAGAATAGAGAGTAAAAGAGAGAAGAAGGAAGGAAGAACACTTCATCAAAGGAAATTGTGAGAAAAAGAGAAAAAGCACCAATAACATCTTACTCTACTTTGGGTAACAAGAAACAGTCAAGAAGCATATCATTTGGACTTGAGATGAGTGGATTGGCATACTACGTTTTTTTTTTCGTATACCTAAACATTTTAAAAATAATACATAATGCTTGTTCATTACTACCTTTACAAAATGTTTTACCAAGTGTCTAAATACTTGTGGCATACGATTATCCTTACCTTGAAAAATTCTTTTGTGAAATATTGTAACTCAATCACTTGTTTATATGGTGAGACTTTGTGATAGTGAATGGGACCATGATTGAAAGTCCAGAAAAATTATTCCTCTGTGTACGAGTGACTCTGGCCACTAGGGAACAGACCCGGGGAGGCTGAGGTGACCCTAGTGCTCAACGGTTGAAGGAACAATGTCTGGTATGTCCTGGTGACCTTCACCGGATCGTCTTAGAGAACAGTTTTCGGTCGACAACCCGTGGTGACCCTAAGTACGATGTTGAATCCAACCCTGAGATATATTCTGACATGTGGTACTAAACGTCCAGAGAAATTATTCCCCTGTGTGCGGGTGACCCTGGCCACTAGGGAACAGACCCGAGAGAGACGGGGGAGACTGAGGTGACCCTAGTACTCAACGGTTAAAGGAACAGTTCCTGGTGCGTCCTGGTGACCTTCACCGGATCATCTTAGGGAACAGTTCCCGGACGACAACCTGTGGTGACCCTAAGTACGATATGGATCCTACCTTGAGATCTTCTAGTATTTGGTATGGTTCTCAGATATCGTACAAGTCCTTACCAGTATAAGATGATAATATAATTTGTTATTGTCACAACGGTTTTACTGGCTTTGTTTATGATTATCTATCGTATGTCATACATATTTCTTGTTATCAGTTATTGTATTTGGTATTTAGTTCCCATCAATTATTGGATATCGTACAATCTCCACCATTATGATATGATTCACTATTGTAGTATGATTTCTTGTTGGAATCCGATTATGTTTTTCTTGATAAATTGGTTATCTTGATTAAGTTATTTTTGTAAACCTTTGATTTACATGTCGTATGCCAAATATATTTTTTCAGCCACTTTGAATATGCATACATTTCTATTTACTAGGCTTTTTAGCTCATATTTTCAAAATAATATTTTTTTGATAAACGATTGGAGTATCAAAGCGGACTCAAGGAATTGATTGGAGACTAATAGTGTTGTGGNCTTTGATTTACATGTCGTATGCCAAATATATTTTTTCAGCCACTTTGAATATGCATACATTTCTATTTACTGGGCTTTTTAGCTCATATTTTCAAAATAATATTTTTTTGATAAACGATTGGAGTATCAATAGCGGACTCAAGGAATTGATTGGAGACTAATAGTGTTGTGGCCTCCGTATCATATATCATATAGCCCTCTTTACTTGTTTGGATAATTGGGACAAACAGATTTAGGTATGTTAACTTTAACATATTGACATGAGATCAATTTAGTGCTAATATTATTTTCTACTCCGATATTATTAGTTGATTGTTAGGCTTACGTGTTCCATAGGTTATGGATCTATGGTTCATGACCGGTCATGCCCTTGGAGTTGGGGGTGTGACAAGTATTTTACATTGTTTCATGTAATACAGAGAACTAACAAAAATCAATATGAGCAAATAGCGAACTTATGAGCAAATAGCAAACTTCTCAAAAAAAAACGTTGTTGTTCTGACTAAATAGAGCATAGCTACCTCGCAAAGAATTGGAAGCATATCCCGCGGACCACAAGTTTCTATAAACACTTCAATGATATCCTCAGCAATATTCGGACACCTTTTTGAGACGCAGGCAAACCTCGCAACCGCCTTCGGCAACTCGAATGAAAGGGCATCCAGAACCACCTGCAACACAAACAATCCACAAATCAACCATAGAAACAAACTAAATAACTGATTGCGTCAATAGGAATAGTTAGCCTGAATATAGAGACCTGGTCCACTGAAGACGAACCTACGAATCCATGAATTTGGGATAAAACCTCGAATACGATCTCGTCCGAGTCTTCATTTTGTGATTCTGATGCAATTGCATCAGAGATTGAATTCAGGAAATCAACAAGCTCGGATATTGCTTCTTCTAATTTGCTAAAATCTCCGCCTTCGATAGACTGTGCAATAATTCAAAGCCAATTGAATACATTAGCGTATATATATATATATATATATATATATATATATATATAGAGAGAGAGAGAGAGAGCAGCGCATTACTTTGGGGCAAGAGAGTAGGGCTCGTTGAAGGCGGAGAGCGATAGACTGGGCAGCGGAGGGTTGTTGTTGGTCTGATTCGGAGAGATGGAGATTGACGAGTCCGTTTATAGGCATGATCGACGGGCAGAGAAGTGTGTGTGTCCCTTCACTCTTTCTGTGTTATACTGAGTAGTCTTTCCCTCTCTCTTTACTGTGTAAGGAATTTCGAGCAGGTTCGCGGGAAGGAGAAACAACGAATGACTATAAGTTGGCATGTCAATTCACGTTTGAGCAATTTCAACCTATTCGGCAAAATAATTAGTTAAAATATATTTAAATTAGTCGTTACCGAAAAAAAAATTTGTCAAACAACCGGGCATCTAAAAAATTCTTAAATAAAAGAAATTCAAGGATTAAAATGAGAAAGAATCATATAACATTAATACAGTTCAAGAATCTCTATGAACTTAAACTAATACCATTATAAAATTATCATGTCATAAATCTTTTCATGCCTTTTTTTCACCAGATAAGTGTTCCTTTTTTTTAACCACTAGATAAATCTAATGAATAGAACGTCTAATTTTAATAAAAATATTAAGAACACACAATTAAATCACTGAATTCAATTAAACAAATTCACCACGTTGAACTACAAATCAAATTTTAAAAAATAGAAAAAAGTTCAACCGAACTAACATTGTCCAACGGAACTGCTTGTAGCTACGAGGACAATTGATTTAAATTTTCTACCGCTATGACTTCTTGGATTCTACATCTCACGCTGCAATTAAACCAAATCAACAAAATTAAAATTTCACCACTTAAAAAAAAAATTGATTTAACTGATCTTTTGTCATTTCGGTGTTTATTTTGTACTACTCAAGTATTAAAAAAATATGAAAATTCACAAGAGAAAAGTGATAAAAATAAGGGAAAAAAATGTTATAGTTGGTTTTTATTTTTATTATTTTTTTGCAATTGGTTTCACTTATATTTTTATTGGTAATTAACTTGACTTTGATATTTTAGTTTTTTTGGTACAATTGATATCACTTTTTTTTTTATTAGTGATTAGCTTGGCTCTTTTTTTTTTTTTTTTTTTTGTGCAATTGGTGTCACTTGTTTTTTTTTTTTATTGATGATTAGCTTGACTTTGAATTTTTTTGAGTAAATAAATCCAATTAAGATCATCAAGACAAATAATGTTAAGAGAGAGAGAGATAAAGAGAGTGTGAGAAATATGAGAGTGTGTGTCTAAAAGAAATATAAAACAGAGAGAGAGAGAATTATATGAGAAATGGGAGTGTGTCTAAAAGAAATATGAAATAGAGAGAGAATTATATGAGAGATGGAAGAGTGTGTTTAAAATATCTGTGAGAGAGTTATATACATGTGACAGTTAGGTGTATGAGATAAAGAATGAGAAAATTATATGAGAGTCTTAGAGTTGTAAAATGAATGAAAGTCCAATTTTGATCGTTAGATCAAAAGTTAAGAAATAATCTGAATCGTGAAAAGCTCAAGACAAAGAAATCTAGTTACTTTATTATATAGATAATACATTCTCTATTTAACTGATTATTTTTTTTAAGTCATTCTAACTACACTCTCTATTTAGCTAACTACTTTAACTAACTTTCAATAATATAATTCAAAAAAGTTATGTAACCTAACACGTAAGAGCATGATGATGTATCATACTACATCATCAAATTTTCAAATTTACAACAATTATATTTACAACGGTCATATTTTTTAAAATGTATAAATAGGATTTTTCCCTTCTCATTGTCATATATCTCAAATTTATTTTACTAGCATTGCACTCATACATTGATTTTTTGGTATGGCTCGTTATAGTAAATTGAAGATGATTTTGACTCTGATAATGAGTTGAAAATGTTAGCGGTTGCTACTATGGTAATATAGAAACTTAATACCGAGAATAGCTCCGCAATACGTCGTGGTTCTATTCAATGCTATTTTGTTATTTTTCTCAATCAAGTTGAAGAGCATAAGAGATTTTATCACGATTATTTTGCTGAATCGCCTACCTATCCCCCAAATTTATTTCGAATTTCGAATGAATCGTTCTTTTTTTGTTCTTATTTTATCCATGGTAGAACCTTATGATCCATACTATGTCCAAAAAAGAAATGCTCTTAGGAATACTGGCTTGTCGTACCCTTCAAAAGATGACTGCCGTTATAATAATGTTTGTATATGGTGTTGCAGCAAATGTTGATGATTATGTGAAGATCAGTGAAAGCACCGCAATAGAAAGTCTACAAAGATTTGTATCAGTCATAGTTGCAATTTATTTTGATGAGTACCTCAGGTCATCAAACAGTGCAGACATTGCTAGATTATTGATAATCGATGAGGGGATCCTAGGTAGCATTGACTGCATGCATTGGAGATGGAAGAATTGTCCGACAGAATGGAAAGGTATGTATTTTGGTCACGTCCATGAACCAACAATTATTTTAGAGACAGGGGTTTCATACGATCTATGGATTTGACATGACTTTTTTGAGTTACCTAGATCCCACAATGATATAAATGTACTAAAATGCTCTTCTGTTTTTACTCTTCTTTCAGAAATATAGGGTTCCTCCGGTCAAGTACTCCATCAATGGAAACGATTATACTATGAGATATTATCTTGCTTATGGTATATATTTAAAGTGGGCCACGTTTGTCAACATAATTCCATCTCCAAGAGGCAATAGGTAAATACATTTTGCACAAGCTTAAGAGTCAACCAAAAAGAATGTTGAGAGAGCTTTTGGAGTGCTCCAAACATAATTTGCTATAGTTCGTGGACCAACACGTTTCTAAAAGCTTGATGTGCTTAAGGATATTATGAAAGCATGCATAATATTACATAACATGATTGTCGAGGATGAGAAAAACGGTAATGAGATGGGATTTGATATCCGAACAGAGTTCAAAACTACTGCAATTTATTCATACTTAACATCGCATTAAAGACAGAAACACTCATTCGAGACTCCAAACTAATCTAGTCAAGCACCTGTGAATTATGCATGAAATATTTTAGGCACTAAATATTCATTGTCTATGAATTTTCTACGAATATTTAAATATTCATTGTATGCGAATATTTAAGCATGCATAATATGACAGTACTTGTTTGTTGTATTACTACTCAAAAGTTGTTAGTCTATGAATAAGAAAGAATTACATTTTCTTTTTCATGATTTCCATTTGGCGACACTTAAAATATTTAGCTTGAATCGGAGGCATGTCACTCGTGTCCATCAACATTATTCTCTCTTCCTTCTTCAATTGCTTGATTTGTATCTTCTCTTTATCATGAGCTAGTCTCTCTTGTTCTTAAAGATATAATCTTTCCATGAATTCAACTTTCTTCTCCGTAACATCTTTTTCTCCTCCTTCAATTCTTCAAACAGTTTCACAAAATAGGTTGAACTTGAATTATCATCTTAAGAGAGTTTGTTCTTTGACTTTATTGCTAGCTCTTTCACAGCCTTCCTTCCAGTTGGTCTCTCCAAGCCCCCATAAGAACTAGTGTTGTCTCTTTTGTTTACCGATTTTGTTGTTGAAAGATTAGAGCTACTAAGAGTTGCATCATTTTTTGTTTTTTCCTTCGTTGACTAAGAATCTTTCATCCAATTTGGTTAATATTGTAACTCATTCCAATAATGTTAAAATGAAAAAGAGCATTTATGCAATTCCTTGTACACCTTCTTTGCATCATGGATCTGAAAATTGTACAATAATATTATGTATCATAAATAAAAAATGTGTTATTTTCACACTTGTAATTAAAAGTGCACTCATACCTTGTCTTTCTCAGTCAGATTCTGATTAAACATTTCAATTTGGTCAAAACAGCCACAAAATTTATTGGTGGCTAGCTGAATTGTCGACTAACGATTCATCAAAAAAACTTGATTGCAATTACAATCTGACTGAGGTTTGTATTCGTTGAAGTACTCCCAAACCCTTTCCCAATATGTTTTAGATATTTGTTCATTTTCATGCACGGCATCCACGCTAATACTAAGTCAATTCGAGATTAAAACTAAGTCTTCCTCAACTGTAAAGTTGTTGCCTTGAACCTTTTTTGCGGTAGATTCTATTTGAGGTGATATTGGTGAAGAATAACCTATTTGGCCTACTAATTCAATGTTAAACTCATCTAAGTTTATTCTGTTCAAGAGATTGATGAAGTAATATTCATGTTCAAATGATTTCATACGTAATGCCTAGAATTCAACCAAAAACATACATTATTCATGTTATTCAATCCAAAGCATACAATAACAATAATTCTAATCAAATTTCAAATAATATAACTTAATAGCAATTTAACAACCATCCACTTCAAATAATAAATACCAATTGATAATAGCAATTCAACCATACATTGTATAAATTTAACCACAAATAAATAGCAATTTAACCACCTATTTAACCCAAAAATCAATAGTAAATTAGTCACCTATTTAACCAAAAATCAATACCAATTTGACCACCTATTTAATAAAAAATCAATAACAATTTAACCAAATATTTACCCACAAATCAATACTAATTTAACCACCTATTTAACCAAAAATTAATAACCATTTTGGCAGCAATTCATTGGGGAGGGGTTTTGGCAGCAAATCAGTGGGGAGGGCGAGGGGGATTCGGCAGCAAAACAATGGGGAGAGGGAGGTGGGTTTCGATAGTAATCAGCAGCAAAACAGATCAGTAGCAGCAGCCAACAACAACAAGGAGCAACAAGGAGTGGATGGGGAGATGAATACCTAATTCATAGTTGAAGAAGTTCATAGAAGAACGCAATAGTAAGGAGCATCAACGAGTGACGAGCAAATTTGGCCTCTCTAGATTTGGCGAGCGTGAAAACCTACTACATTTTGGCGAGAAGGATGACTAGTGGGTTGAAGCTGATTTTTTGAGTGAATCTCGCCAAAATAGCTAAAAGGGGAGAATGGATAGCAAGGGTTGAAGTTGCTATTAGGGGCGAGTTCGGTCTAAATGAGGTTGTGTGAAAAAGGTTTTGTCGACATCCAATTCATTTATTAATTAATTAGTCATATCAATAAATTTAAAATTCGAGCGGCCAAAAAATTGATTCTACTATATTAAATAATAATTTTTTCCTTCACTTATTTGATTGCATCGATTAAAATTTATTTTACCTATTATTTTCTTAAAAATATTGATAAAA